GAACTGAGTTTGTATCCTAAATGTTTTCTTTTCTGTTGTTGTTTAGTTCATTGTACTTTTTAAAGATTTGCCGTATGTCCTGATGTAGAATAGCTTTTATTCCACACTACTGTGTTGGGATAGCTAATGCTTTAGTGGAGAGGAGAGGGCTATCATGGATATTCTAGGGTGATACTTGGAGCCTGTTGCCATAGGTACTAATAGCCTCCTTTTCCTAGTCATAACAATGAAATTATCTTTGGACATTAGCAGATAATGTTCTGTAGGAGGAGGAGACAAAATTGTCTGAGAACCCACTTTCTAGATGACCTCATATAAACTTAAGCTTAAAGGGATTTTAAATATTTTCAAAGAACTAGGAAGACATCTTATAAGTGCAACCAGATATATTCAACATAATTTTTTAGAGAAAAATAATGTAGGTGACGCAATATTTTTGATGACCAAATCTATCAGTCTTAAAGAGAGGGCTGAAATACTGAGTATTTAAGTACCCATGAACATAGAAATGAACTGTTTGTTTCTTTGGCCCTTCCAATTGGTAGATGAAATACATACTTGAAAAACTGCACAAATTTCTACCTTACACTTACCTACTTTTACTTGATTTGTTTCTAAGAAAAGTATCTATCTGACAGTTTTCAAGTATGATGAGGTTAGAGGAACATTACCTTTTACTTTGGTTATAATGCTTATTTACTACGTATTTGACGTACTACCCAGGATTCAGCATAGTATGCATTTTGGGCATGACCCACTATTGTACTACTCACAGACAGCTGGTCATGTTATGTCTAGTGACCATTTCTACCCTCAACATTCTTCTCAAAGACAAGGTCGCGGATATGGGATGCCCAGGTAAGAATGAACTGATTTTCATGATAATGTATCTTTGTTTTGGTTTTTAGAAATAACTCTGGCACTGAATTATAGTAAAATTGACAGATATAAATTCTATAGTTTGTTCCAAAGGAGAGCATAGAGCTGATCCATATTTATCCTTGCCAACCATTGTCATAGTTGTATTTTCATTTTGTACAGAAATGTGAAATGTTGAAGAGTTACTTAAAGATAGAATGCCATCAGAAACAAGTATCTTTATGAAATAATGTTTGTCTCCATTAATATTGGATATGCCCAATACTATTGTAAAAGTCTTTCTAGTTGAATGTTTTTAGGAAACTATGTTAATTCTACTTAACTATTGAGACTGCAAGAATTAAGTAATTGTTTTTCTTTATTCTTAGGGATTCATCTCACTTAATAAATAGGCAAAACATGCCAAGTTCTAAAGTTGGGTTTTACCCTGGTCCAGGTAGACGGTGCTGCCAGAGCTATGATAATGTCTCATATAGGTCTCGGTAAGTATTTGAAGTATTACTTAATGAGAAACAAAAATCGGTGTTTTTTTTTTTTTTTTTGAGACAGGGTTTCTCTGTGTAGCATTGGAGGGTGTGTTTGGTTTTATTGCTAAGCAGTGATAATGTGTGCCATCTTTCTAAAACCTCACTTTGGGGGCTGGAGAGATAGCTTAGGAAATAAAAATGTTGGCTGCCCTTCTGGAAAATGGGATTCAATTCCCAGTACCCACTTGGTAGCTAACAGTCATTTGTAACTCTGGTTCCAGGGTAGCTGACATCCTTTTTCTGGTTCTGTAGGCACCAGACACATATAGTGTACAGGCATACATGCAAACAAATACCAGTATACATAAATTAAAACCAAAAACATCTGTTTTGAGATAATTTGTCTTTCACTGAGAAATCAGAAGCAAATTACTGCCATATTTTAACTTATTTACCATTTTGGTTTCCAAACTAAGTTCTTTCAGGCGTAGCCACCGTCAGATGCATTGTATGAATAAGGAATGCCAGTATGGTTTTGCTCCAGAAGAAACTGTTACATTTTATGCACTTGAAGAAGGGAATGAGACTGCTTATTCAACATTACCTGTAAGTGGGTGAAAGCTTCACTGAAAAGGGTATTTTTTCTTTTTTCAAGGCTGTATGGAGAAATGTTATATATGATTTCCACACCCAACCCACTGCAAGGATCAAAATTAGGTCTTGCATATGTATTTTACCCCTATACTATACCCTCAGCCCTAATTTTAACATTTTTTATATGAACAACTTAGTAAAATCCTCAAACTATGAAGCCATCCCCTTAGAGCTTCTTTTTTTTGGTTTTTCGAGACAGGGTTTCTCTGTGTAACTTTGGAGCCTATCCTGGCTCTCACTCTGGAGACCAGGCTGGCCTCAAACTCACAGCGATCTGCCTGCCTCTGCTTTCCGAGTCCTGGGATTAAAGGCATGCACCACCAACGCCCGTCCCCCTTAGAGCTTCTTAACTTTAAAGAAAAGAGATGTTTTGGAGCTGCTAGAGGTTTAGAAAGTCTAGTGTATATGTGAGCTTACATTTTCTCTTTCATTGCTTCACCTATTTTGGATTCCAAAGTACTAAAATAGCCACATATTTCTCTTATATTAACTCAAAATTTAGTTTCTTTGCCTTTTCTCTAATACAGAAAGAATTCCATATATGTGTGTCTTTCTTTGGTACAGAGCAATGGTGGTTCCCATGCAATGGTTCCTGTTACTTCAGGATACTGTATGGCAAGTCAGGGCTATAACTCGTGCAAAACAAGTTTGAATTCAGAAGACAGCAATGCCCACTGTGACAGTGGTGAGTAAAGTAGTGCTGCCTAATTTTTGAAAAAAATGATTGTCATGGCATTTGCATATCAGAACTTGGCAATACAATTTTTGGTGTTTCATACCTTTCTGGTAAGTTGGCAGAAGTATAATATTAGGGATGGTGAGATGCTTCAATGGATAAAGTGCTTTCCCGGCAAATCCGAGAACCTGAGTTCAAATCCCAGAGCCCATATAACCCAAAGAGTTCTTACTTGAATTCAAAATGTCTTAACTTTTATTGAATGCTATATATCATCCATTCTAGTAAATTATTGTAATTTAATGGCAGTTTTATGGTATTATGAGAAATATGCCATCTCTGTATTATATATAAGGAAATTGAGATTCAAAAGCCAATAATAGGACAAAAGCTAAAATCTTGATAATGACACAGACAAATATTTAACTCAATTGAGATTAAATTTACATACCAAAAAATACTTACTCAAAGTATACAGTTTGGTGTTTTCTGTGTGTTCTTTCACATAATGAGATCTACAATTTCATCATCTCCCAAAAGACATCCCATTCCTCATATATACCCAAACTAAGATTTGTCTCTAAAGCCATCTATGCATACTTAATATATCTACTTTCCTTTGGCATTTATTTGTTTACCAGTCAATGATACATTACTATTGAAACAATTTTGGAGAATTATGGAAGGTAAAGAAGTATGAGGCATTTTGAGTGACTTCATAAATAAGATACTTCTAATATTGTCTCTGATACTTTTATATAGAGGAAAATATTCTTCACACCTAGCAATTTTGAGCAGAATTTTGTACTGATGACTGCTTACCTTGTCTTCTGTTGATTAATAGTATGGCTCAAATCACTTTCAATCATGTATGTATTTTAGTTTTGAAAATATGTCCATAAAGCTTAATGAAAAAAAATTACTGGCCATTTTGCTCTGCCAAGTTTAAAAGATCTGTGTACATTCATTTCTGTTTTTTTAGGACAATATCATGGAGATTATCTTTATTCTTCAGGTCAGTGAGATCTAGATTTAATTTGATAATCTTCATTGTTTATGGAATATCAAACTAAAATATTGCTCATTTTTGCTTTGGCTATATTCTCTAGAACAAGGCTATGAAACTTCCAGTGTATATACCACAACTGTATCTACAGCAAACCTGGTAGGTATACTACTACAGTATTGTCCTATTGTAGGGTTACTGAATTCTGATGGAGGCATATTGTCCTGGCTGTTAATGGTTTTGCTTTTGTGCTAGTGTCTAATCATCTGGCATTGGCATGATTGAGGTGATTCTAGGTTTTGTTGGCTGGTTATTCCATCCCTTGATTTCTTTTGTCTTCTCTGGGTATTAGGAAAGTGTTGTAGCTGTGGGTTGTCTGGTATTAAGTGCTTCTGCAGGTTGATGGTTGGCTGAGAGGAATGGAGGGTTGACTGGAAGAAAAGGCTGATAGGGAGAGGCTTAGGAAAGAGAGAACTGTATCCTGTCCACATCAAGAGGTGGGGTTTCTAGGAAGCTAGTTGGAGGTGTATTGAGAAGAGGTGATCCTGCAAGTAGGCTGAAGTGAGGCAAAGAATAATCTGGAGAGACAGGAATGGAGGGGTTAGGGGTCTGAGGTGGAGCCTCCAGTGAATGGAGTTGAGTTGGGAGGAGGGGCATCTGTAAGCAACCTGTCTGAGGGTGAGAATAGAATATGGAGATGGTAATGGAGGACAAGGAAGGGAAGAATAGTGTAAATCACCTACCTAAGTCCCTGCCAAGTCCCTATTAGGGATAGTAGGTAGAAAGTGTTTCTAAGGTTGAGGCTGACAGAAAAGAATGGGGGTGTGCTGAGGATGGGTTAGAGGGTCCACAAGGAGGAGGCAAGCTGGATTCACATCAAGTCTTTCTGTAGTCCTCCGGGTCACTACAGGGCTGGGGATGATCCTGGAGAGACTATAATGGTGGATAGGAAGGAGAGTGAAAATTGCCTTTGGATTCTTGGTTTCCCTGTATTCAATTATATTTCTGTGTTTATTAAAGTCTCTTCAGGACAATGGACCATGTTCTGTGCCTCAAGACACAGTTACCTCATACAACTACCCCCAGAAGGTAATTTTCATAGTATTATCAAACAGTCATTTATAGTGAGCTAAATACAAGAAAATGAATTTTCTCTTTTCTTTGTGTTCATCAGAAGAGCAGCTGCTTATATTCCATTAAGTATTATCGTGCCTTCACTTCCACCTGGCATAGTGACTAATACATTCATTTACAAGTCACTTAAGTATCTACTGTTTCAGACACTGTTGTGTGCTGTGTTGTGAACTTCTTATGAGTCAGTCAATAATGAATTAATTTTCGAGTCTCTTATTTGCTGAAATATAAATTGGAAGTTGTCATTTATAAACGGACTGGAAAAGGAAAGCATTTAGAACACCATTTAGAACACAGCCAGTCGATAACCAAATTTTTGAAAATGAGTAGAAAAGGAACAGTTGAGGAAAGAGCAAAAGTAGAAGAATGTATTGAAACTCTGGAACAAGAACATTGCCAGGAGCAGTAAATATGGCTCTTTCCTAAGCGGTCAAGCAGTGTAAAGATTAACTGGACTCTAGTAGTGTTTGATTGCCCTGGCTGTCCTGGAACTTGCTCTGTAGACCAGGTTGGCCTCGAACTCAGAGATCTGCCTTTCTCTGCCTCCCAAGTTCTGGGATTAAAGGCGTGCACCACCACCATCCAGCCTGCTATTGGTTTATTATATTTATACACATTTCTGTATACCATATACCCCAGTAAAGTAGAATGTTCTCAAAGAACTTTGTGCCCAAATAGGGAAAAACATTAATTTCATTAAGCCATTCAATTACACTTAAATACAAAGCATTATCTTCTATGTGTGTGTGTGTGTGTGTGTGTGTGTGTGTGTGTGTGTGTAAATGTGTATGTATTTCTAATCTGTAGAGACCAAGAAGCTTTAGGAAGATGGCAACTAGGCAGATAGAGAATACGAGTTGGAGGGAAACTGTCCACCATCCCCAACTTTTGGCTTTATTGTTTTGATATTAATGTATTATCTTTACCAAAAGAAAGATAGCTCTAAATGTAATCAGAGATCCTGCAAAGGAAGTAACTATATATGGTTTGAATACAGATTGACTTTCAGAGTTTTATTGCCAGAAATATTATAATTTCCTGGTGTTAGGTTCAGAGAAGAAATACGATTTGAGAAACCAAACAAGAATTTTAATCTTTCTTCCACATAATAGGTGTTAGAAAACTCTACAGAAATTAGAGTTTCCTGGGCCAGCCATGTTCCAGTTCCAGTCTTACCTAACTGTACAGGAAGTAATCAAACTATTAGTACCTCTGATGTTTCCGAACAGAATGCCATACAGCCTGTCTTTGAACCTCCACCTGCACAAGACAGTCAAGGTAGGTTATTAGTGTTTGTTTTCATTGGAAACCTCTTTTTCTACTCATGAATATGTGCATACTAACATAGCTATTATATGGTATTGTAATTTCAAGAAATAATTATATTAGTTGTACTTTAAAAGGTTGTTATATCACCAAGGAATCTATGAGATTTGAGAGTTTGAATTCTAGTGGTTTTTTTTTTTTTTGAGATAGGGTTTCTCTGTGGCTTTGGAGGCTGTCCTGGAACTAGCTCTCGTAGACCAGGCTGGTCTCGAACTCACAGAGATCCACCTGCCTCTGCCCCGAGTGCTGGGATTAAAGGTGTGCGCCACCACCACCCGGCCTGTTTTTGTTTTTTGTAATAGGATTCTGGTAAGATTTTACACCTGCCATTTGCTTTTTGTATTCTACAACTTTTAAGTTGTTTTGTAAGTTTTTATTTTTCATAATGTGTATATATTGGGCCAGGATGAGCATGCTGAGGCTGAAGAAACTAATTGAGGTGATTATTTCCTTCCACTTTTATGTGAATTTCAGGGATCAAACTTGGGTCACTAGCAATTTCTAGTATGCATTAAACCACAAAAATAGATGAAATAATGATAGAAATTCCTGGAGAATACTGAAAGGAATGGAACAAATACGAAAATGTATAATTTAGAAAAAATTATTGAAACTAAAAAACATCAGAACATTGAAACATGCATAACAGTACCTCAAACAAATGAGAACATCAACCCAGAACATCCAACATTAGGATATTCCAGTAAGGTTCATTTTCTAGCACCCACATGGCAGCTTACAACTGTAACTCCAGTTCCAGGTAATCTGACATTCTCACTCAGACATACATGCAGGCAAAACACCAATGAACATAAATTAAAAATAGATACATCATAAGAAAATTCTCAAAAATTGCTAGACTTAAAAGAAAAAAAGTTTAAGTCTTTTGAGAATCTATGTAAAGAGCCTGTGAATATAAGGAAATATTATAATCAATGAACTTTTCACAGAAATATATGGGAAGAAAGTGAAATGAAATTTACAATATACAAAAAAGTCTGACAAACACTTAAAATACTTGCTACCAAAGTTGATGACTTGAGTTCAATCTCAGGAAACCACATGGTAGAAGGAGAGGACAGATTCCTGAAAATTGTGTATGGCATGCCATCCCACCCTCCCCACCAAAACAAGCAAATGTTAAAAAAATAATAGTCAAAGGACTTGTGAACCAAAATTTTATTTTTTTCTTTTCTTCCTTTAGTTTTTCTCTTTTGTTTTTGAAGCAAGATTTTCTAAATTGCTAAAGTGAAAGTGAGTTTTCAAGCACAAAGGATAGCTTGTTAGAATAAAAATATTTTTCCTATGAACCCTTTTTGAAGAATCTTCTAGAGATGTCTGTAAATAGACATTTCTTGTCCTGGAGCCACTCGGCCCCAAATACCCAGCAGCTGCTTTCCAAATTACCCACAGGCTTATATTACTTATAAATGCTTGGTTGATAGTTCAGGCTTGTTACTAGCTTACTCTTTTTTATCTTATTAATTTGTTTTTTACATTCCAATCCCAGTTTCCCCTCCCTCCTTTCCTCCCACTTCCCCCACTTACACCTCTCCACCTCCCATCTGCTCCTTGGAGAGGGTAAGACTTCCTCTAGGAATTCTAAGTCTGTCCCATCATCTCATTTAGGCAGGACCAAGGCACCTCTCCACTCCCCACACCCCTGTGTCTAGGCTGAGCAAGGTATCCTCTCCATATAGAATGGGCTCCACTTAAGTCAGTTTGTGCATTAAAGTTATATCTGGGACCCACTGCCAGTGGCCTCATATAATAGTTTGATCTTATGCTGGTTCCTTTTGTCAGACCTGAGTCAGTAATCTCTCACTAGCTCAGGTCATCTGGTTCTGTGGATTTCCTCATCATGGTCTTGACTCCTTTGTTCATATTATTGCTCCTCCCTCACTTCTGTTGTACTCCAGGAGCTTGGCCCAATGGTTAGTTCTGGATTTCTGCATCTGCTTCTCTGTTTCTGGAAGAGGGTTCTAGCTTCACTGGGGTTGTGAATTGTAGGCTGGGTATCTTCTGCTTTATGTCTGGTATCACTCACTTAAGAGTGAGTACATACGATGTTTGTCATTCTGTGCCACTCAGGATGGTTTTTTCTAGTTCTGTCCATTTGCCTGCAAATTTTAGGGTCATTATTTCTTACTGCTGAGTAGTACTCTTGTGTAAATGTACCACATTTTCTTCATCGATTCTTCAATTGAGAGGCTTCTAGATTGTTTTCATTGGTCCACATGTCATTGTTTTCATTACTATAGCTCTATAGTAGAGCTTGAAGTCAGGGATGGTAATGCCCCCAGATGATCCTTTATTGTACAGGATTGTTTTGGCTATCCTGGGTTTTTTGTTTTTCCATACTAGCTAACTCTTACACTTAAATTAACCCATAATTCTTATCAGTATTTAGCCAAGTGGCTTGGTATTTTTTCTCAGTACAGCATTCTAATCTTGCTTCTGGGGTTTGCAGGCGACTCTCTGACTCTGCCCTTCCTTTTCTTGAATTCTCTTCGTCTGTCTCTTGAACTCAATCTCTTATTGCCCAGCTATCGGCCAATCATCTTTTATTTAACAATGAGTATAATCCACAGCAGGTGTGTAGTGAAAACAAGGTATTAAGTTTCATGTGACAATTAGAATTAGTTGCCATTAAATAAACCTTTGGTTTGCCAGTCAGTAGCATCATGCTTAATGTACAAAGTCACATGTGACTAGTAGCTACTGAACTCAACTGCAGAGAATATTTGTATTATCACAAAATTTTGTTGGGGGGACTAGAGATGGCTCAATGGTTAAGGGCACTCGACTGCTCTTCCAGGGGATCTAATTTTGATTCCCAGAACCCACATGATGGCTTATAATTATTTGTAACTCCCAAGGAGATCTGATGCTTTTCTAGCCTTTAAGGGTACTAGGCATGCATGTGGTACACAGATCCATCCATCCATCCATCCATACATACATACATACATACAGGCAAACATCAATACACACAAGTAAAATAATTTTTCAAAAAATTACCAATACACATAAATAAAATAATTTTTCAAAAAATTATATATGGCAATAATATACTAAAAAATGATGTTTGGGTTTTAGACTGCAAAAAATAAAATATTAGAAACATTGGTACAAGACCTGATATAAGTATTGAATATGTCATTTCCCATAGAATAAAAATAAAATGAAAGTCAGGAAATTGAAAATAGATTATTCAGAAGCCTTATATTTAGCCAAGATATATACAACTATTTTATAAACTGAGGAAATTGGGGGAACATATATATAAAGCATTTTGAATGCTTCAGTAATTACATCAGGTTCTTTTTATCTAGATGGTACATCCTTTCTTGCTAAATTTCCAGAGTAACAAATCCAGATTGTAGATTGTTTTTTAAGCTAAACTCCTGTTAGAGCTCTAAATTTAATCCTTTATTGAATGATGAGATGAAAATTTCTATGCCTTCTAATGTTGTAAATTTCATATATCTAGTACAGCTTTGAAGCTTGATACTTTTATTTTCTAAATTGACTAAAATTCAAAAAATATGAATGATTGTCATTTAGCATTTGTCAAAATAACAGATTTTTAACTAGAATATTAAATGCATGTAAGAATTTTAGTAGGTTGGAAACAAGTAAACATTTAGTAGGTTTATTATTACAGGGGTTTAATATGCAAACATCTCCTAGATGAATCTTTTAAAACTATAGTAATAGATAATAGAATACTACAAGGATAAAATAATTGTATCTAGGCGATTTTAAATTCTGTGGCTCCTTGAACTGGAACTTAATGACTTAAAATTTCCTACATTCTTCTGAGGCTGCTGGGAGAATTTGTAAGGTTGCTAAAATCCTTACTGTGTGCAGTTTCTCTCTTGACTTCTGTGTCTTACGAATTGACCATGAGTGACAGGTTGCTGGAAATTTCTTTAAATTTGCATTTAAATTGGGTAACCTCCAAGTGTCTGTTTTTTTTTTTTTTTAGTCAACTCATGAGAATTCTGTGATTACATGGGGTGGAGGGCAGGTAAAGAAGCAGGTCAGCTACTGCTTTATAAGGGGCAACAGTTGTGCATTGCTGTTTCACGTTTTGTTTCTTTGTTATTGTCATCCTGTCCTTAATAATTCTTCTGTTTCTACACTACAGCCTATCTTCAGCCTCCAGCAGCAGCACCAGCAGCAGCAGGAGCAGCACCAGCAGCAGCAGGAGCAGCACCAGCAGCAGCAGGAGCAGCACCACTTCCACCGCCTCCTCCTCCACTTCCTGCGCCTCCTCCTCCACTTCCTGCTCCTACTTCTCTTGAAGCAGGAGATGCTTCAGGCTTACATCTACCACCACCATTACCACCACCACCACCACCACCACCTTATTCTTGTGATCCAAGTGGAAGTGATCTCTTATTTAGGTTTGAGATGGTTCTTGAATCTAGAACATTTTCTTGATGATTAGTGGGTACAGAACTAAATAGGAGTGATTTGAACATAAAATTCTAGGTGACTAATAAGGAGCAGCTGCAAGTACTTTCTACATAGCTAACTAGTAGATAGTTGGGTCAAATCATGACACTTCTGCTCCCCTCTCATAGCTCTATGTCTTTCTTAAACGAGATTCACAAATGCATAGCTTTGTTTTTTACTCAAGTATTTTATTTTAACTCTGGAGTTAATATTAATAGCTTTCTTCTATTTACGTTCTTTCCCCAAGTTTATGAAATTGTTAACTTTTTGATACTTGGTATACCAACTGAGGACCTCGAGAAATCATCTATTCATCTGATCTGCTTTGACTATCAACCATGCATTTCTGCTTCCTTAAAAAGCCAGGAGTGAAAAAAAAGCCAGGAGTGATATTTTTTCCATTGGAAGTTCTTTGTTGCCTCTGAGTTTGGTAGTATTACTCAAAGAGAATTGTAGTTGAAAGTTGTTAGCAGTTTGCTTATACTTTCTTGCTTACATTTTCTTGATTTTTTTTCTAGCTGCTGCTTTTTTCTGAGTTCTCTCCAGCCACTAAACTAGTAAACAAGATTTTCTTCAACTCTGTTCTGTTCTTTTTCCATACAGTATGTCTTTGCAGTCTATTCTAAATCTACTAGCCTTTGCTCAGAAAGTTTGGTTACTTACTAGACATTTTCATTTAAGCTTTACAACTTTCAAACATAAATGGTCTCTAATGAAATTCCTCATCTTTTCCCTCTTGTCTTTCACCAGTCAACACAAAACATTTATTCCTCTTCTTGGTTTCATATTTTGTAAGTATTATTGTTGTTTCTACCTAATTTAACCCAATATCTAGGACTTGACTCCTTTGTTCTCTCCATCTTTGGTGCCAAGTAGTATTCAGCCATCACATAATGACGATTTTCTATTTTTCTAGCATTTTATTGTGAAGATAGTCAGATAAACATTGTTGTTTTAATTGATTATTTAATTGCCACCAAGATTATGTTGTGGATGTTTGACTATATAGGTTTATCACATACTTGCTCATCGTTCCTTTTGTGCATCTGAGTGGAAATTAACCCATCTTGTTTTTGATGGCTTTAAAGGTAAATTGTATTTATCAGTAGACCCCCCCTCAACCATAAAGGATAATGAAAATGAGTATATATACACAATTGAATACTCTTAATGTATATAAAAGACAAAATTCTATCATTTGTGGGTTAATATAGAAGACATATATTATTTGGTAAAATAAGCCAGGTACAAATTGACAAAATACTTTGTGAAGTATGAAAATATACTTCTTATCTCATAGAAATTTTCCCTACGCTAGAGAACAACCTCTGTGGTTCCTCGAGCATTCCTTTAGTTTTTCTTGAGATAGGATATCATTGCCCAAGAACTTAGCAAGTAAGTTATGCTATCCGGCCAGCTAACCCAATTCCTACCCCAGCTTTTCCAGTGCCGAAGTGACAAGTGTGTACCACCATGCCCAACATTTTTTAAATGAGGTCTGGTGCTTGGATTTATGTCTTCATGCCTGCATTGCAGATACTTACTAAGCTAATTCTCACCCCTGCCCCACAGTTTATTTATGTTATGCCCTTGTCTTTCCATTGGTGCATCTTCATTTTCCCCGAGATATCATCATTTCTCTGCTCTTTTGCTTTCTACCTTGGATTAGCTTTACATACAAATGTAATCGGTAGTGTATAATGTGTAGAATGCTGCTTAAACTGGGCATGAGGGTTTGAGTTCATCAGTATTCTTAAATTAGTGATTCACTTGTTTTTTTCTATGATCAGTATTTAATTGAATATTCCAGTTCTCTTTTAAAACATATTTTATGAATTCTTTGAGAATTTCATAAAACGTCTTTCGAACATTTACCCCCCCTCAAATTCTCTCCTTAGCACCACTCAAGCTTCCATCACTTTCCACACAATCTTGAGATTAACTTTTTCTTCTTTCCTCATAGAATCCAGTTTGTTTTGCCCAGCTATTGTTGGGATTAGAGCCTGCTCTGGTATGTGGTCAGGCTACCAGGGGTCACATCATTAAAAATAAACTGTCCCCCTCCTAGAAGCTATTAGTGCTAATAACTCCTAAACTAGTGGTGGGATTACATATCTACTTTCTCCTTTCTGTGCTGGAATTTTGTCAGGCTGGAACTATGAGCTTTTGTATCACATGAAGCAAAAGAAGTAGTAATTTGTTATTCCTAACCCATTACTCTATCGTTTTCTTTTCGCACTTTTTTAGAGCCCTTCTGTGGTAGTCATTTATTTTCTGATTTTGTCCTTTTACTGCATCAAATACACTTGACATAACGGTATTAGCCTTGGTGTGAATAAATTAAAATAGAGTTCTAGGCCAGGTGTGGTGGCACATGTGTTTAATCTCAGGGAGGCAGAAGAGGCAGGTGGATCTCAGAGTTTGAGGCTAGACTGGTCTACAAAAGAGAGTTGCAGGAAAACCAGGGCTACACAGAGTAACCCTCTCTGGAAACCCTACCACCAACCCCCAAAAAAGAGTTCTTAAAAACACTTTTAAAACTAGATTTTTCCATATAAAAGGAATGATTTGTCTAAGTCTGGCTTATTTCACATACTATCTGTGGTGCCATCTATTTTTCAATAGGCATCATGACTTTATTCTTTATGGCTTACTAAGACTATTGTGTATATATACCACCTTTTCTTTATCCATTCATCTATCAGTAGGTATTTAGGCTAGTTCTAGATTTTGGCTTTTGTGAATAATAGCATGCCTGTAAGGTTCATCCTTCTTGTAATAGGTACCAGTATTTCACACTATGTATAGTTGACTAATTCTCATTGTATGGTTGTGCTACATTTAGTATATATCAGTTGGTGGGGATTTGAGTACCTTTTGAAAAAAAATGATCCTGCCATAAACATTGGTATTCAGGTTTTTGTGTTAATGTTTGTGTATGTCAGAGAATTTACTTCCTGTTCTTCTCATATTTAGCTTGAGCATCTGGCTTTATACCCCTATATTTTAGTCAAAATACCAACTAATTCTTTCAAAATGGCAATAAGGACATTTTCATAGGGAGGCTGTAGCTTATGAAAGAGACATTTCCCACAAATCCATCTTGTTATTGGAACTTGGTCTATATTTACAATAAAAATATGCATGGACCCAGGTCATACACTTACGGATCCAATTAAAATACTAAGAACAGGATGAGGATGTTGCTTAGTGGTAGAATTCCTATTTAGTGTTTTCAAGACCTTGGAGTCCATTCCAGACATTAAAATAATACAAACAAAAGAAAAATGCCATGACCATTCCTCTCCTTGTGTACATCTATCTAGTTTTGGTTAATTTATGAACTATTTGAGTTGAGTTCTATACTTGGAGAAGTTTTATCATTTTAGGCTTTACTGTCTCCTCTCTTTGGAGTTCTGGTAGTATGTTATGACAAATCAAAACAAGATGTGAATGCCAACTTTCTTCAGTGGACAATCACTCCTCAACATTAGTAGAGCAGAAGTTAAACTAACTGAGATAGGGTTGTAGCAAAATTTTCATCATGAGACAAGAAAGAAAATGTCTTTTCTAGCTATTTTCTTAGTAACAGAACAGCATTACAGTAGCATCTGTCTACATCTAAGAACAGAAATGAAATTTGTATTCGGTGATTAAACCTTGTGTCTTAAAATGTCAATTGAAAAATAGTCCTTTAAAACAGAATTGAGAGTGGTGGTAGTGTGTAAAATGGCTGTGACTATGTCTAATTTAATAATGCTTTTAACTGGTAATTTAAATTGCTTATGGCAATCTCATAAAATTTTTTTTGTTTTAGATACAAAAGTTTTGCAGTACTATTTCAATCTGGGATTGCAGGTAGGAATAATACTAAAATTATTTTGGTAAGTCCTATCTATATCAAATAGTCTGTTTTGAGAAGTCATAATCTTGAACTTTACAAGCCAAGAATATTGTGAATGTCTAAAATGTCTTATTTCTCTCAAGAAGCCTCTAAAGATGATGTTGGTCAACTTTCTACTTTTTAGCATGGCTCAGTTTGTCTTACTATCAAATAGTGTTAAATTGAAGAGAGTGGAGGTTGGGCACTAAGCAGCACAACATTATTATGTTAGGCTATGCTTTTTAACATCATATACCAGCCCTTCAGTGGCATATACCCTGAATGAATGGATTGTTTATTGTTTACTTAGTATCTTGTAGAAATTTCTGTATTCTGTATGAAAATCAGACTTAACTCAAAGATATTTAAATAACTTTTTAAGTACTAACTTTATATTTTTGCCAAACACTTCCCTGAGTTTGAGAGGTATAGGTACTAGCATACATCTTGATATCTCTAATAGGTGTTTTGCTTTGTGGAGCCAGGGATCATTTTTCCCTTTAAATATTTTTTTCATTTATAACTAGTATAGCCTATAACCAGATAGCATATAATCCACAAGACCGAGGCTTTTAAAAATAAATATCCTAGTCAGGCATTATGGTACATGTCTGTTGTCCTACCTACTCAAGAAGCTGAGGTGGAAGGATCACTTAAACTTGTGAGTACAAAGATAGATTGAATAACATAGAGAATCCCATTCTCAAAACAAACAACACTAAAAAGCAACAACAAAGCCTGGCAGTGGTGGCTCCCACCAGGACTTAATTCAGAGGCAGGCAGATCTCTTTCCATTCCAGCACAGCCAAGGCTACAAAGAAGCCCTGACTCGAAACCACCCCCACCCCAACGCCCACCCCCCAAAACTTAACTTGTTCCTTATGTCACAGGAATACTAGGAGAATAATAGATAGCTTAATACTTTTTTCCTTTTCATATTAAAAGCAATAGTGTTATACTGTTCATTATAGTATTTTGGGAACTTGAAGGTATTAAAAGCAGAATTAATAATTTTGATATATTATAGGTTCTGAATATATTAAAAATCTGTATCATATTATGTAATTTTCTATTCATTTTACTTAACATGATTAGCATTTTTGTCTTTTTTAGAAGATTTATTTATTTATATATTCTATGTATATGAGTGCTCTGTATGTATGTCTGCATATGGGCATCAGATCCCATTACAGATGACTGAGCCACCATATGGTTGCTGGACATTGACCTCAGGATCTCTGGAAGAGTATTCAGCTGAGTCATGTCTCCAGGCTGCTTTTTTGTCT